TATATTATTACATTATGAGAAGCTAAGAGAATGAAGCAAAGTGACAAACATATATGGACTGATTAATCAATTTGTTTTTTACGGCTTATCAACCGATTGTGGGATATTTAAAGACGAAACATTATGGATTGTAAGAATATTTCTATTTCGTATGTGAATATTGCATTAAAATTAATAGTTCCTAATTTTCTGATAAATGTTCTTGAAGTTGGCATATCGTTATTATATTGGTTTTTCATGACGATGAATAAAATGAAAACAATACCAATTAATAATGAATTGTCAGAGCTTCACTTGAAGTGACTTGTAATTTAACCGAACAAAATTAATTTCTACTCAAGTTTTAGTGTGTGTTGCTTACACACTACTTAACAACTGAATGCTATTAACTTACAAGATAAAAATCAAGGAATGTTATTTTAATTGCAAAGTGATAGAGATAATCTGAAAATGTAACAATGCATGCACACTCACACACACACACACACACCTCTCTCTTACACACTTTTCATGGTTCACACATTCTTTTTCAATAAAGAACACAAATATGATTTTAAGTTTTCTAGCAGACTGTTTTAGTATCCCCAAAACACATTATCTCTCTCTCTCTCCATATATATATATATATATATATATATATATATAGATAGATAGATAGATAGATTGTTCAAAATTTACCAGGATGGAGCAAACAAAAACTATCTCTATGTTACCGAGAGCATTTCGCTCTTGACACAAATCGAACTAAAACGTAAACATTGGGCAGCATATCCACATTTTTATAGTAAATATATTTCTCTGTAAAAAAAAGAAAACACAGATTATATTACCCACCCCCCGCCAAATTCTTCACTAATGGTTTTGAAAGACGAAAGAGTTCAAAAGACGTTGTGCAGTTTACGTTCAGTTTGTCCCTGGAAAACTGAAAAATGGTCTGAGATAAAAAAGAAAAGAAACTGGTTGTTTTTAGACTATATATATATATATATATATATATATATATATATATATATATATATTATAATTGTATCATATAGACAAAACCATTTTACTCACTACAAAGATGCAACTTGGTTTCAGTGCATTTCAACTGCACTTCGTGTTTGGTCAAGAAGGGACGGAATTCGACAAGCATGACTTTCTCGTAGTAGTATGTGCCACCACTTTAATAATATCAACATCGACCCCAGGAGCGGTCGGAGAAGGTGCAGCATCAACAACAGGAATTTCTGCAACAACAATAACCGAAGCAACACCAGCACCAAGGAATGCACCAAAGAACAAGAAAAGAAACAGCAACAGATGCAGCAACCAAAACAGCAACAGAAGCAGCAACAAAAGCAACAACAACAAAAACTACAAAAAAGCAACAAAAACAGCAACAACAGGAACAGATGCAACATCACAAGCATCATCGAAAGTATCAACGGCTGGATTCAGATATGGAAGCGGAGGAAATATCGCCACCTCGTCCTTCTTTTTCAAAAGGGGGGGGAGAAGAAGAGAAACCAACCAAGAAGGAGAACCTGACTGGACTAAGTAAGGCGGAGAGGGTCATGGACAAAGCCAGGTCCCAATTCGTCTATGCGTCGCTAGCGCATAAACAAACTGAGGATATCACCCCAAAATCAAGGTACTTCCCCCGCTTTCACTGTTCGGCCTCTATCTCTATTCACTTATATACCTCCCCACCCGTTCACTTTTAGCCCGCCTTACCCATCTAGGGAGAAAAAGAAAAAGAGGAAATATTTCCCCGGAGCAGAAGAAATCTGCAATGTGAATATACGGGACTTGGAGAAAGACTTCTCCACTCATGAGAGTCATTTTGTGTCCCCTATTTAAGATTGCGCCTGTCGAAGGAAAGACGCTGGAGGATCCCCACAATTTCCCTAAAGTCCCTGGTGTGATAACGTCTGAAAAGAGATGCGGGAAGGTATTTAAAATATGGTTACACCTGTTCCAGACGAAATACGCCTTCCCAAAGATCCCCGTGTCCGAGGTATGTTCTCCAGAAAAAAAAAACAAAAAAAACTTTCAAGATTTTGTGGAGGGAGGGTGCCGATAATGCTCCATCCCTAGATATATAGGGCGTTAAAACTAACGTACGCAACGGACGTTGGCGGTATTGTCCAAGATGGATGGTTGACGTCGAAGATCGACACGGGAAGCCTAGGACAATCCGTCGATGTCCTCACTCCAGCAGATTTCCACCCACTATGTGAATAGGGTCATTTCTGTTTTTTTGGACTTGAAACATAGCTGGAGACTGGAATTTCAATCTATCTTTGCTGGACAGGCGGGACTTCCGATAACAGCTGATAGTATACTGCAGCGGGTACTAGTCGAGGCGGTTATTAGGAATAGGTGGTTGGAGAGGTTGGATTAGGTCCTTCAACATCGAATAAAGCCAACGGCTCGCACTAGATAAGACTAACAAGGTGAAGGCTCATAAAGACAGACTTTCCCGGGCGGTGGCCGGAGGGGGGGGATTCCCTAGAGATAAATCTAACTAGGCGCGCGGCTTGCGAGCGTTACTAGGATCAGGCTGTTAGGTATAAGCTAAAGATGTCTGACGAAGCCGTGAATATGGACGCAAAATTGCAGAAGAAAGCATTGGGGAGGTCGATATCCCGGAGGGGTGTATTCTGAGGTCGGCCGATGTCATGTGCGAGCCGTTTCGGCGGCATTTCGAGAGCCGGTTTATCAGGGAGCCTGGTCTCTGTGACAAAGAGTTTCGCAAGTATTTGGCTGACTATATTCGACTTTCGGCGACTCAAGCGGCTAGCTGCGAAGGTGAGATCACGGAAGGCGAAGTTTACACGGCATTGAAGAGGGGTGACCGTGACAAGTCTCCAGGACTTGATGGTTTACCCAATGAATTTTACTTGAGTATATCGCACATATTTGTTCCGATTTTGGCTGCCGTGTTCAAAAACTGTTTTTGTCAGGGATCCCTCTCCGACTGGATCTCCAAGGGTGTAGTCACGCTGTTGAAAAAGAACAAGGGTGCTGGGCGGGATTTAGATAATTACAGGCCTATAACTCTACTAAACACAGTAAGATTACGGTCAAGATTCTGTCGGAGCGTTTAGAGTCAGTTGCCGAGATACTTTTGGAACCTGAGAGGACAATTCAAAGCAACCTGCATTTGATCCGCACGAACATAGAGGGTGTAAAAGACGACGAGCAAGCAGATTTTATCAATTTCGATCAGTTCAAGGCATTTGATAGGGTCGACAATCGCTATCTGGCTGCTGTCCTTCAGGCTACCGGATTCGAACCCAACTTCTGCCGGTGGATTAGCATCCTGAATCACTCCACCAGTGCTGTGGTACAGGTGAACGGAAAGCAGTCACGTGCTTTTGTGCCGTCTCGGTCGATTCGTGAGGGTTGTCGACTGTGGCCACTACTTTACGCAGTTCGGCCCTACGAGGAATCGCTGACTCTGATTGGGCTCGAGGCAGGATTTATACGTATGCCGATGTCGTGTCCACTTTCGTGCCGTCCCGCAGCGACAATGATGTGGTGATTAAGGTGCTTCAACGGTAAGAAAATGTCACTAGTGATGGGGCAAGATTAACCGCGACAACTCTTCCGACTTGTGGTTTGGAGCCTGGAAGTGCACCGACCTTCCATGGCCCTTTGGTTGGATGGACGGGCCCGTCCGCATTCTCGGATTGTGGTTCGGGCCCGGACTCCAGTCGGAGAAAAATTGCTCTGAAGTATAGAGGTCAGCGCATCGGTTCAGATTTGGCGGCGAAGGCGATTTCCCTTAAAGGGGAGGTCAGGGGTATGCCAGTACGTCTTTCCTCTCATCATTTGCCGGTTGACTGCACTTCCTTTCCGCTAACTCTCCTCCATCTTGTTGGGTGGCCGCAAGCATCACGTCGACAGCGATGTCTGTGCCCATCGTCCGTGTCATGGGGGCTGAGAAGTTCCACATTTGGAAAGTCACTGACACGCCTCGGTGTTAACTTTCCTACGTCGCACGTTGACAGAGGATTCGATCCTAACTGGGAGCCGCATTCTATCGCATTACCATCACTTCTCCGGTTTCGAGGGCTGAATGCAATCGTAGGCCCCAGGATCAGTGCTGATCGTGCTTGAGGATCATTCCTTAGTCCAATGATATATATATATATATATATATATATATATATATATATAAGGCATAAATAATCTAGAAATACCTAACATTGATACCCATAAAGATCCATTGTTCAGCATATATATAGTCAAGCCACCAGCAAGCACGCTGTCGCCAATCGGTTTTGGCCGCAGTGTTTACTTATATATATATATATATATATATATATATATATATATATATATATATATATAGTGATAATAAAACGGAGACTTTAATTATCCATTTCGGTTATAAATTTATTTCTGTGAACACCAAGATGTTCATTTTTTCATATCGAAATCTCCTCCATAAAAAAAAAATAAAACAGAGGAGATTTCTATCTGAACATCTCGGTGTTTAGGAAATGGTGATTTTCCAGGCGTAGCTTCAATATGGTACAAGGCCGAATGTAAGGCGCACCCCGTGAAGATCGAACTCACTACTCAATCGTAATTGTTCTAGCGAGACTAGCTTGCTAACAATTACACCTATAATCGAAATTAATAATTAAAATCTACGTCTTCTAATCATCATGTTAATGCTCTTTAGTCTACATTGAGCCTTCCCTGGATTTATATTCTCCTCGGAATTATCCCTTCTAGTCATAAACTGGTAAGGACAGTGGCCTAAGATAAAGACAAAGAAAGATAGACGTTAAGAGAGCGATAGAGATAGATAGAATAGATAGATAGATAGATAGATAGATAGATAGATAGAGAGAGAGAGAGAGAGAGAGAGAGAGATATTCTACTCTGACATAAGGCTAAAATACTGAAGCATTTAGTATGAATCAAACTCATGAGTAAGCATCTAAGACGCGACTAGCTTTGTAACTCTCGTCATAAAATAGGCGCCTTTGTAGGGTGACAGAATGAAGCTAAATTTCATTTGGGGCTTAAAAGAAGAAAACAACGCCTGTTCTATAGTATTTCATAAAATGGATCAGCATTTGTTACGAACAGTTCTGACGCGATTCTAAAAAAAGAAATTTTACTTTCATTTTCATTTTAAATACAAAATGAACAAAACTGTCAAAATGACACACGCTTTGACTTTAGCGTTTCTTTGATAAAAAACAAGCGAAAACGAATTTTTCTTCTTTCTTTCTTTCTTTCTTTATTAGACAGTTCGATATCTATCTATCTATCTATCTATCTATCTATCGCAGTCTGTTCATATCTATCTATCTATCTATCTATCTATCTATCTATCTATCTATCTATATATCGCAGTCTGTTCATATTCATTCATTCATCCATCTATCCATCTATCCATCCATCCATTCATCCATCCATCCTATCGCAGTCTGTTCATATTCTATCCATCGCAGTCTGTTCATATTCATCTATCCATCCATCCATCCATCCATCCATCCATCCATCCATCTATGTCTGTTCTTATCCATCCATTCATCCATCTATCCATCCATCCATCTATCTATGTCTGTTCTTATCTATTCATTCATCCATCTATCATCTATTCATCTATGTCTGTTCTTATCCATCTATCTATCTATCTATCTATCTATCCATCTATCTATCCATCTATCTATCTATCGCAGTCTGTTCATTATCTATCTATCTATCTATCTATCTATCTATCTATCTATCGCAGTCTGTTCATATTCATTCATTCATCTATCCATCTATCTATCTATCTATCCATCTATCTATATATTCTATCTATCTATCTATCTATCTATCGCAGTCTGTTCACATTCATATCTATCTATTCATCTATCTATCTATTCATCTATCTATCTATCATGAATATGTGTATACGTCTCAAGCCCTGTCATTCTGAGTATTGCGTTTGCGCATACCTGAACATTCAATAAAAGAAAATCAGCGGAAGTGTAAACGAAAAGAAGATTTAACGTGGAGAATCGAAAAGCGAATGAAAATTGACCTCGGAAAAGAAACATGGTGGGATGCAGAAAAGCCGATAGTTGAAGAAGGAGCGTACAAAATTAAAAGGATTGTTTATATAATCCTCTAATTAGTATTAAACTTCAGTGAAAAATAGTAACATCAGAAAGTTAATTATTCTAAAGAAATCCGCTGTGATTATCGGATGTATTGACATTCTATGTCGACACGAAAGAAAAATTATAAAAAGAAAATTAAACAAAATTTGCCATTCTTAGGAAATTCTGCCAAATCTGAATCTATAATTTAGCTTCACTATCTTTTTTTCCTCTGATTCATTTAGAATTGGGCGGGAAGTTTTTACGTTTTGGCTGTAAATAAGTTTAATGTGCAAACGGGTAGTGCAAGAGAAAAACGTTATGAGGCTGGAATCTATAGGTGCAAGAAAAAGAAATAATATTACATTGAAATTTATTTCTCGGAACTCGTTTTTCAGCATGTAAATACAACATGGGAATAACTGCTCTCCCATCGAGCAGCCAATAAAACTACTGCGTTTACTTTTGAGTTTGAAATTTTGCACAAGTACAATCGATTATGACTGACTGTAAAGTGCTTTGTCCGGCCATTCACAGCCATATGCGTAAGGTGTGTATTTTTTTTATTATTTATTTTGTTAAAAGTTTTTATCAATTGAAAAGAGAGAGAAAAAAAAGGAAGATCTAATGGATAAGAAGTTATTAGTTAGATTTTCCAACATTTCAATCTCCATCAAGACCACTTCCTCTTGTTGGGAAAATTCTTAGTGTCGCTTAGGGAATCTTCTTATTGTTACATTTCGTAGTAAATGTGGAAAATGAAAGACGATACAGAAAAGAAATAGAAAGAAAAAAGAAAGGAATGGATAATGAAAGAAAACTAAAATATAGAAGGAATAAAACGGAAGGGAATATGTGGTACGACGAACAATGGAAAAATAAAGATGTTGATTATGTGTTTGAAATAAAAATAAAAAGCATCATAGAAAGTGAAAAAGAAGGCGATAAGAATATGGGAATTTAAAATTTCAAAATCATTAAAACAGCAAAGAAAAATGAAAAAAGAAATGAATGAAGAAAGAAAGAAAAAGAAGAAAGAAATGAAAGAAGAAAGAAAAAGAAGAAAGAAAGAAAAAGAAGAAAGAAAGAAAAAGAAGAAAGAAATGAATGAAAAAACGCAAAATGAAGAAAGAAATGAATGAAAAAAGCAAAATGAAGAAAGAAATGAATGAAAAAAGAAAGAAAAAGAAGAAAGAAAAAGAAGAAAGAAATGAACGAAAAAGAAAAATGAAGAAAGAAATGAATGAAGAAAGAAATAAAAAGAAGAAAAATGACAGAAGAAAGAAAAATAAAGAAAGAAATGATTGAATGAAGAAAGCAAAATGAAGAAAGAAATGAACGAAGGTAAGGCAAAATGAAGAAAGAAATGAACGAAGAAAGAAAGAAAAAGTAGAAAGAAATGAATGAAGAATGAAAAATATAGAAAGAAATGAATGAAGAAAGCAAAATGAAGAAAGAAATGAATGAAGAAAGATAGAAAAATGAAGAAAGCAAAACAGAAAGAATGAAGTGAATGAGGCAAAACAGAATAACGGAAACAAACGATTAAGTGAAATGAAAAAACAATATGAATGAAACAAAATAGAAAGCGATAAAAATGAAGAAAGGAAGAAGGAAAGAACAAAGAAATTAATTAATGAAGCAAAATATAGAGAAAGAAAAATGAGGAAAGTAAAATATATGGAAAGATATCAATGAATGAACAAAGAAGAAAAAACGAAGAAAGAAATAAAATGAATAAAGTTAAATAAAAAGTTGACTAAGTAAAAAGTAAGAAAAATTAGGAACGAAAGAAGGAAAGAAAAAAGAAAGGAAATGAGGAAGAAAGAATGAATAAAGTGAAAATAAAAAAATGAAGAAAGTAAAATAAAAAGATAAAGCAAGAGAAAGATATAAATAAAGACAGAAATGAATAGAGCAAAAGAGAAAGAAAGAAGGAAAAAATAAAAGAAAGGAAGGAAGGGAGAAAGAAGAGAATGAAATAGAAAGAAAGAAAAAATAAAGAGAGAAATGAATAGAGCAAGATAAAAAGAAATGAAAATAGAAAGGAAGAGAGCAAAATAGAAATAAAAATAGAAAGAAAGAAAGAAAGAAATGCATAGAGCAAAATAGTAAGAAAAATAGAAAGAAAGGAAGAAGGAAATTCATAGAACAAAATAGAAAGAAAAATAGAATGAAAGAACGAAGGAAAAGCATAGAGCAAAATAGTAAGAAAAATAGAAAGAAAGGAAGAAGGAAATTCATAGAACAAAATAGAAAGAAAAATAGAATGAAAGAACGAAGGAAAAGCATAGAGCAAAATAGAAAGAAAAATAGAAAGAAAGAAAGAAAGAAATTCATAGAACAAAATAGAAAGAAAAATAGAAAGAAAGGAAGAAGGAAATTCATAGAGCAAAATAGAAAGAAAAATAGAATGAAAGAACGAAGGAAAAGCATAGAGCAAAATAGAAAGAAAAATAGAAAGAAAGAAAAGAAGGAAATTCATAGAACAAAATAGAAAGAAAAATAGAAAGAAAAGGAAGAAGGAAATTCATAGAGCAAAATAGAAAGAAAAAAAATAGAATGAAAGAACGAAGGAAAAGCATAGAGCAAAATAGAAAGAAAAATAGAAAGAAAGAAGGAAATTCAGAACAAAATAGAAAGAAAATAGAAAGAAAGGAAGAAGGAAATTCATAGAGCAAAATAGAAAGAAAATAGAATGAAAGAACGAAGGAAAAAGCATAGAGCAAAATAGAAAGAAAAAATAGAAAGAAAGAAAGAAGGAAATTCATAGAACAAAATAGAAAGAAAATAGAAAGAAAGGAAGAAGGAAATTCATAGAGCAAAATAGAAAGAAAAAATAGAAATGAAAAGAACGAAGGAAAAGCATAGAGCAAAATAGAAAGAAAATAGAAAGAAAGAAAGAAGGAAATTCATAGAACAAAATAGAAAGAAAAATAGAAAGAAAGGAAGAAGGAAATTCATAGAGCAAAATAGAAAGAAAAATAGAATGAAAGAACGAAGGAAAAGCATAGAGCAAAATAGAAAGAAAAATAGAAAGAAAGAAAGAAGGAAATTCATAGAACAAAATAGAAAGAAAAATAGAAAGAAAGGAAGAAGGAAATTCATAGAGCAAAATAGAAAGAAAAATAGAATGAAAGAACGAAGGAAAAGCATAGAGCAAAATAGAAAGAAAATAGAAAGAAAGAAAGAAGGAAATCATAGAACAAAATAGAAAGAAAAATAGAAAGAAAGGAAGAAGGAAATTATAGAGCAAAATAGAAAGAAAAATAGAATGAAAGAACGAAGGAAAAGTATAGAGCAAAAATAGAAAGAAAAATAGAAAGAAAGAAAGAAGGAAATTCATAGAACAAAATAGAAAGAAAAATAGAAAGAAAGGAAGAAGGAAATTCATAGAGCAAAATAGAAAGAAAAATAGAATGAAAGAACGAAGGAAAAGCATAGAGCAAAATAGAAAGAAAAATAGAAAGAAAGAAAGAAGGAAATTATAGAACAAAATAGAAAGAAAAAAAAAAGAAAGGAAGAAGGAAATTCATAGAGCAAAATAGAAAGAAAAATAGAATGAAAGAACGAAGGAAAAGCATAGAGCAAAATAGAAAGAAAAAAAGAAAGAAAGAAAGAAGGAAATTCATAGAACAAAATAGAAAGAAAAAATAGAAAAAGAAAGGAAGAAGGAAATTCATAGAGCAAAATAGAAAGAAAAATAGAATGAAAGAACGAAGGAAAAGTATAGAGCAAAATAGAAAGAAAAATAGAAAAAAGAAAGAAGGAAAATTCATAGAACAAAATAGAAAGAAAAATAGAAAAGAAAGGAAGAAGGAAATTATAGAGCAAAATAGAAAAGAAAAATAGAATGAAAGAACGAAGGAAAAGCATAGAGCAAAAATAGAAAGAAAAATAGAAAAAGAAAGAAAGAAGGAAATTCATAGAACAAAATAGAAAGAAAAATAGAAAGAAAGGAAGAAGGAAATTCATAGAGCAAAATAGAAAGAAAAATAGAATGAAAGAACGAAGGAAAAGCATAGAGCAAAATAGAAAGAAAAATAGAAAGAAAGAAGGAAATTCATAGAACAAAATTGAAAGAAAAATAGAAAGAAAGGAAGAAGGAAATTCATAGAGCAAAATAGAAAGAAAAATAGAATGAAAGAACGAAGGAAAAGCATAGAGCAAAATAGAAAGAAAAATAAAAGAAAGAAAGAAGGAAATTCATAGAAAAAAATAGAAAGAAAAATAGAAAGAAAGGAAAAGGAAATTATAGAGCAAAATAGAAAGAAAAATAGAATGAAAGAACGAAGGAAAAGTATAGAGCAAAAAATAGAAAGAAAAATAGAAAGAAAGAAAGAAGGAAATTCATAGAACAAAATAGAAAGAAAATAGAAAGAAAGGAAGAAGGAAATTATAGAGCAAAATAGAAAGAAAAATAGAAAGAAAGGAAGAAGGAAATTCATAGAACAAAATAGAAAGAAAAATAGAAAGAATGAAGGAAATGCATAGAGCAAAATAGAAAGAAAAATAGAAAGAAAGAAGGAAATGCATAGAGCTAAATAGAAAGAAAAATAGAAAGAAAGGAAGAAGGAAATGCATAGAGCAAAATAGAAAGAAAAATAGAAAGAAAGAAAGAAGGAAATGCATAGAGCAAAAAATAGAAAGAGAAATAGAAAAAGAAAAGGAAGAAGGAAATTCATAGAGCAAAATAGAAAAGAAAAATAGAAAGAAAGAAGGAAATGCATAGAGCAAAATAGAAAGAAAAAAAGAAAGAAAGGAAGAAGGAAAATGCATAGAGCAAAATAGAAAGAAAAATAGAAAGAAAGGAAGAAGGAAATTCATAGAGCAAAATAGAAAGAAAAATAAATAAAAGAAAGGAAGAAGGAAATTCAGAACAAAATAGAAAGAAAAAATAGAAAGAAAGAAGGAAATGCATAGAGCAAAATAGAAAGAAAAATAGAAAGAAAGGAAGAAGGAAATGCATAGAGCAAAATAGAAAGAAAAATAGAAAGAAAGGAAGAAGGAAATGCATAGAGCAAAATAGAAAGAAAAATAGAAAGAAAGAAAGAAGGAAATGCATAGAGCAAAATAGAAAGAGAAATAGAAAGAAAGGAAGAAGGAAATTCATAGAGCAAAATAGAAAGAAAAATAGAAAGAAAGAAGGAAATGCATAGAGCAAAATAGAAAGAAAAATAGAAAGAAAGGAAGAAGGAAATGCATAGAGCAAAATAGAAAGAAAAATAGAAAGAAAGGAAGAAGGAAATGCATAGAGCAAAATAGAAAGAAAAATAGAAAAGAAAGAAAGAAGGAAATGCATAGAGCAAAATAGAAAGAGAAATAGAAAGAAAGGAAGAAGGAAATTCATAGAGCAAAATAGAAAGAAAAAAAAGAAAGAAAGGAAGAAGGAAAAAAGATAGAACAAAATAGAAAGAAAAATAGAAAGAAAGAAGGAAATGCATAGAGCAAAATAGAAAGAAAAATAGAAAGAAAGGAAGAAGGAAATGCATAGAGCAAAATAGAAAGAAAAATAGAAAGAAAGGAAGAAGGAAATGCATAGAGCAAAATAGAAAGAGAAATAGAAAGAAAGGAAGAAGGAAATGCATAGAGCAAAATAGAAAGAAAAATAGAAAGAAAGAAAGAAGGAAATGCATAGAGCAAAATAGAAAGAAAAATAGAAAGAAAGGAAGAAGGAAATGCATAGAGCAAAATAGAAAGAAAAATAGAAAGAAAGGAAGAAAGAAATGCATAGAGCAAAATAGAAAGAGAAATAGAAAGAAAGGAAGAAGGAAATTCATAGAGCAAAATAGAAAGAAAAATAGAAAGAAAGGAAGAAGGAAATTCATAGAACAAAATAGAAAGAAAAATAGAAAGAAAGAAAGAAGGAAATGTATAGAGCTAAATGGAAAGAAAAATAGAAAGAAAGAAAGAAGGAAATGCATAGAGCTAAATAGAAAGAAAAATAGAAAGAAAGAAAGAAGGAAATTCATAGAACAAAATAGAAAGAAAAATAGAAAGAAAGAAAGAAGGAAATGCATAGAGCTAAATAGAAAGAAAAATAGAAAGAAAGAAACAAGTAAATGCATAGAGCAAAATAGAAAGAAAAATAGAAAGAAAGAAGGAAATGCATAGAACAAAATAGAAAGAAAAATAGAAAGAAAGGAAGAAGGAAATGCATAGAGCAAATTAGAAAGAGAAATAGAAAGAAAGGAAGAAGGAAATGCATAGAGCTACATAGAAAGAAAAATAGAAAGAAAGAAAGAAGGAAATGCATAGAGCTAAATAGAAAGAAAAATAGAAAGAAAGGAAGAAGGAAATGCATAGAGCAAATAGAAAGAAAAATAGAAAGAAAGGAAGAAGGAAATGCATAGAGCAAAATAGAAAGAAAAATAGAAAGAAAGGAAGAAGGAAATGCATAGAGCAAAATAGAAAGAGAAATAGAAAGAAAGGAAGAAGGAAATGTATAGAGCTAAATAGAAAGAAAAATAGAAAGAAAGAAAGAAGGAAATGCATAGAGCTAAATAGAAAGAAAAATAGAAAGAAACAAAGAAAGAAGGAAATGCATAGAACAAAATAGAAAGAAAATAGAAAGAAAGGAAGAAGGAAATGCATAGAGCAAAATAGAGAGAAAATAGAAAGAAAGGAAGAAGGAAATGCATAGAGCAAAATAGAAAGAGAAATAGAAAGAAAGGAAGAAGGAAATTCATAGAACAAAATAGAAAGAAAAATAGAAAGAAAGAAAGAAGGAAATTCATAGAACAAACTAGAAAGAAAAATAGAAAGAAAGAAAGAAGGAAATTCATAGAACAAAATAGAAAGAAAAATAGAAAGAAAGAAACAAGGAAATGCATAGAGCTAAATAGAAAGAAAAATAGAAAGAAAGAAACAAGGAAATGCATAGAGCAAAATAGAAAGAAAAATAGAAAGAAAGAAGGAAATGCATAGAACAAAATAGAAAGAAAAATAGAAAGAAAGGAAGAAGGAAATGCATAGAGCAAAATAGAAAGAGAAATAGAAAGAAAGGAAGAAGGAAATGCATAGAGCTAATTAGAAAGAAAAATAGAAAGAAAGAAAGAAGGAAATGCATAGAGCTAAATAGAAAGAAAAATAGAAAGAAAGGAAGAAGGAAATGCATAGAGCTAAATAGAAAGAAAAATAGAAAGAAAGGAAGAAGGAAATTCATAGAGCAAAATAGAAAGAAAAATAGAAAGAAAGAAGGAAATGCATAGAGCTAAATAGAAAGAAAAATAGAATGAAAGAACGAAGGAAATGCATAGAGCAAAATAGAAAGAAAAATAGAAAGAAAGGAAGAAGGAAATGCATAGAGCTAAATAGAAAGAAAAATAGAAAGAAAGGAAGAAGGAAATTCATAGAGCAAAATAGAAAGAAAAATAGAAAGAAAGAAGGAAATGCATAGAGCAAAATAGAAAGAAAAATAGAAAGATAGGAAGAAGGAAATGCATAGAGCAAAATAGAAAGAAAAATTGAAAGAAAGGAAGAAGGAAATGCATAGAGCAAAATAGAAAGAAAAATAGAAAGAAAGAAGGAAATGCATAGAGCAAAACAGAAAGAAAATAGAAAGAAAGGAAGAAGGAAATGCATAGAGCTAAATAGAAAGAAAAATAGAAAGAAAGGAAGAAGGAAATTCATAGAGCAAAATAGAAAGAAAAATAGAAAGAAAGGAAGAAGGAAATTCATAGAACAAAATAGAAAGAAAAATAGAAATGAAAGGAAGAAGGAAATTCATAGAGCAAAATAGAAATAAAAATAGAAAGAAAGAAACAAGGAAATTCATAGAACAAAATGGAAAGAAAAATAGAAAGAAAGAAAGAAGGAAATGCATAGAGCTAAATAGAAAGAAAAATAGAAAGAAAGAAACAAGGAAATTCATAGAGCAAAATAGAAAGAAAAATAGAAAGAAAGAAACAAGGAAATGCATAGAGCAAAATAGAAAGAAAAATAGAAAGAAAGAAGGAAATTCATAGAACAAAATAGAAAGAAAAATAGAAAGAATGAAGGAAATGCATAGAGCAAAATAGAAAGAAAAATAGAAAGAAAGGAAGAAGGAAATGCATAGAGCAAAATAGAAAGAAAAATAGAAAGAAAGAAGGAAATTCATAGAACAAAATAGAAAGAAAAATAGAAAGAAAGGAAGATAGAAATGAATAGGGCAAAATGTAAAGAAAGAAAAAAAAAATTAAAATAATTTTATTTCGAAAATGAATGAAAAAAAAAGCAGAAAGTGCTTAAGTGCCAAGTTGTTGAATCGTGGAAAGGAACATGGACTAAAAGATGTCTATGAACAAAAGAGAATATAAAATTATTTTTAAGTTATAAAAAAATTCCAATTTCTAAGTCTCAGACGCTCTCAGCTCACTTAAAGAAAAACATGTTTCTTTTCGTCTTAGTCCCCCCCCCCTCAAAAAAAAAAATCTGCCAGTCAATAAATAAATCTAAAAGTAAAAAAGATTACCTGAATCTCCCAAAATAGAGAGACTTGGAAAAATTTTTGATTTTTTTAAAAAAACACATAATCATTATTTCCTTTCATTTGGACAAACCAAAAGAACTTTAATCCAAAAATTCAGATTTGATAGGTTGAAATAACGCTGAACCAAAACTAACTTTTGATCGTTCTGAAGTTTCAAATAATTACGAATTTTTAAGTTAATGTCATCTGTTTCAATTTCTTTAAACATATTCATCTACAAGCCATTAACTCATTTAATCACTATTGCACTTAACATATTTGGGAAAATATCAGAACAATCCAGAAATTATATCAGCAGTAAACCACCTGCAAACAGATAGAAAATAAATTCAGTAAATATACAAAAACAGAAAGGGATATAAGACAAGGATGCGTCTTCTCGCCAGACAATCAACCTCTACAGAGAGGCCATTCTGAGAGAAATAGAAATCCTAAGAGTCGTCAGAATCTTAACAAAATAGGCAGATGACAGTGTTGATACCAGACACAGAAAAGAAAGCCACAAGAACTCCTACAGAAGTTAGTGAAAAAAAGTGAGAAGAAAGGACTAAACATAAATTGGGGGCTTTCCTTCCGGATTCTTCTGGAGGGATTGACAGAGGAGTAGAAGTGGGTTTTTTCTCGTCGGGATGAATGCTGCAGATGTAGTATCTGTTCCGTGTCGGAGGTCTTCTCCCCCCACTCCATTGCTGCATGACATTTGTTAGGTAGCGGTTGTATGACCGGCTATGACTAGCTTAGACAAGCTATGACCAGCTAAGGCCGGCTTAGACAAGCTTTGACCGGTCTTTAGAGAAGCTAAATAACAGTTTAGACCAGGGACCAGATTGGAAACACTCGAGTCCCCACGTTAAAAACCTGACAAGTGAGAGTTAAGGTAAATCTCGTACTAAACATTAATTGGGGGCCCCACCCCCGGATTCTTCCTGGAGGATTGGCAGAGGAGAAGGGGAGTTCCATCGAATTAGATGCTTCGGTTGTAGCATCTGCTCTCTGCCGGAGGCCTTCTTTTTCCCATGCGTACCCCCAACCGTTACATTTGCAGTGGCATCATCGGCTTTGACTAGCTTAGACAAGCTATGACCAGCTAAGACCAGCTTAGACAAGCTATGACCAGCTAAGACCAGCTTAGGCAAGCTTTGATCAGCTTAGAAAAGCTAAAACAGCGCCCCGATTGGAAACACTCGGGTACCTACGTTAAAAACCGACCTTGTGTCACAACCTGACTCAATGGGGGGTTAAGGTAAATCTCGGACTAAACGGTCCGTCGGAGTAGATGCTGCCATTGTAGCATCTGTTCCGTACCGGAGGCCTATTATCCTCCCTTGCGCCTTCCCACTACCGTTGCGTAACATCTGTTACGCAACGGTGGTATGACCGGTTATGACTAGCTCAGACAAGCTATGACCAGCTTAGACGAGGTACGACCAGCTTAGACCAGCGGCTCGAGTGGAAACACTTGGGTCCCCATTTTAAAAAACCGACCTTGTGTCACAACCTGATTCAATTAAGGTAAATCTCTGACTAAACATAAATTTCAAGAAGACGGAATTTATGGTTGTTAGCACAATATATAAGTTACAAATCGGAGATACCAAAAGCAAACAACTACAGCATCAATGAGGAAGTGTTTTAACAGGAAACGGAATGTTTGACACTGAAAACTGAAGGCGCATTAGGATAACTAAATATATTTTCCAAAATCTAAGCAATGTTTCGTTTGAAATAAAGAAAAATAGTGCTGAACTGTTACATTATATCAGTCCTAGAGAATGCTGGACAATCATCTCACAGATGTAGAAGAGAATTGAAGCAACAGAAATGTGTTCCTACAAAATGATGCCGAAAATACCATGCACGAAACAACGACGAATTTTTAGAGAAAATGTAAGCGAAAAAGTCACTTATACTTAATGCTACTTCTAAGAATTAAAATGTTTATGGAAGTGTTCATAATTTTTGATAGATATGAAAAATCGAAGTAAATAACTACTTTGAGAAAAACATTTATTTATTCTAGCAGTTTAAAATAGCTAATGCAAATTGATTTTGTTTGAGTAAAAGTGTCTTTCAGCATATAAAAGCCGTAGTATTTCAGTAACGGTTGCATTTATTCCTAACCACAAACTACATTTTTTCTTGACTTTCACAGCGCAACGTACAGACTGAGTGACGAAATTTAACAAATTTTAGTCAAAACAAAATTCAAACTTCGAAGTTTAATTATAACATTGTATGTCTACTTTCGTGTCCTTAAAGAAATACTTAAATATAAAAGATAATTATACTGTCACCGTGTCGCCCCCATAAAAAATAAATAAATAAAAATTAATTATAGTGTAAAAATAATTATAATTATCATGAATTCACTCTTTCTAAACCAAAGAAAATCGATCCCACTTCTCACCTCTGCATAGACAAACACGTAACATCCTCACAAGAAGTCAATACAGACAGCCATCAACGAAAATGTTGGCTTCTTCTTTTTTCAAATCATAATAGTAAAATTTATTTGTTAGCACACAACAAAAATTCGAGGTAAGAAAAACCCAGACGCTTCTTATATTTTCCAACTGAATACACATTACACATATTTTCCAACTGAATACACATTACACACATCTATAAAAAAATACGAGAAGGACTGTGTAAACTTTCAGTAAGTTATGTGACACACACTTAGACGATCATGTATCTTTCGATACATGACTTACGATTTCATCCCGCAGTAGGTTGCCATTACTTTCTTCGGCAGACTAGTTGCCATCCAACGCTATAGAACCCGATCTGTCCTGCTATTTACCCATAGATGTGGGGAGAAGAAATTGATTCATACCTTTCCCAAGGCTATAAGCACGTAAGTGAATCTAATGGTTTCGACTGGAATTTGAACTCGGCTCTCCGATTCCTTAATCCAAGCCGCTATCCATTACTCCACCGTTTACTTGTTCGTTATCTAATCATTCTGTCGGATTTCGATCCGTATTTGATGTACATTTGTCCCCAAATTCACAATTTTATTCAGTATTACTCTGCTTCGTGTCACGAACACCACATAACAATAATACACGTTTTATTGTTTTCACGTCTTGCTGTTTCTCATTTTACGAGAAATTTATATATATATATATATATATATATATATATATATATATATATATATGCTAGGGGGTTTACAATTATTTACCAGATTTATAACTTCCCTACACTACATTTAGAAATATTTAATTTGATAATACAAAAATGATTGAAAATTAGGTGGGAAAAGTTGAAGTGAGGTTAAAATAAGAGGGAAAGTGATAAGCGAAAAGGATAACTTGCCAACGAACAGCGGGTTCAAATTCAGTCGGCCATAAAATACTACCCCATTACAATTGTACTTGTCCCTCCTTTCGCTAGTTTGCACGACTATTACGCCCTGTCAATGTCTTATAAATAATGTACTATACAGGTTTGATTGCGTGGAAAAGGGGGAAAATCACAACTTGATTTCAGTAAGAAAATGAATGAAAGAAAGAAAAGAAGCTAGAAGTGGAAAGAGCGAAGAAGTTGCCAAAATAACACATAATGACGATAAACAACCAAAAATATAAACCTAAACCAGCTCGACAAAAATCAGCTAAATCCCTCAACGTTTCTTTCTC